AGAGGGGTTTCTTTTTCTTTTTGAAAATGCTATCTAATTTATATCAGTCAAAGGTTTTGGTAAACTTTCCATGCCAGATGCTGTTTACAACCATGAACATGCAAATAAAACATTTGTTCATTCTATTGTTACTTTAATCACACTTTGAAATTTATTGTAATAGTCAAAATACAGGATTGTTTTGCAAGAAATTCTTATGTAAATGGAAGAAAAGCCTTTTGAATTGACTTCCAAATGTTTCTTTGCTGGTGGATCTTAAATTGTCATGAATACTTGCAGCCAATTGTGGAAGGATGTCACAGGTATTTTGAGTATGTGAAGATTTATTCTGCACAGATGTCAGTGCTGCACAAGATTTGAACAGTTTGTGATTAATTTCTTTTCCAATTCATGTGTATATATATATTCAGGGAAAACATGAACAGTTCATAGTGAGGCCTTTGAGATAACAACCAAAGGTTGGGGAATAGAGACAGATGTGGTAGAGAAGGCCAGTATGCACATTCATTCCTACAATGTTTGAAACTGTCACTCCAACAAAATTTTGACCAGAACTCCAATATATTCTTAAGGATTAGACAATGCTGCTAAAAATGTTAAAAACAGATTTATATGGTATAGTAAGATGGTTATTTAAAAGAAAATCAAGAGCTCTAACCTTCCAGTATTCAGACACACGCACCCCAAAAAAGAAACTACTGTAATTGCATTTTCCCCCTTCATGGGGCTGTACTTAAATTTGAGAATACTGTGGAAAAGTTATACATCCTAAAACTCTCGAACACTTTTTATATTTGCGTATGTGTGTGTATATACAACACATATATACAGACAGCATGAACTCATGTTTTACACATCTATTGCCAACAGGAGAGTTTCAACTTTATTGCAGTACCTGTTCATCGAAAGCCTATTTCAGGCATATGTTCAGGAAATGTTCATTCCAAACCAAGTTCTGCAGCTCATACACTATCACTTCCACCAGGTGTAGTCAATATAACTAATTCAAACAGACTCTCCTGATATGCTCTGCATATACTAGACACCAATCTCCTGTAGGTTCTAGTCACAAAGTACATAGCATCCTTCAGTATTGTTGAACTTTAAGAAGCAAAAAATAGCTGGATTTTTTTAAAAGGAGCTATATATACCAGAAATACATAACTCAAACCACCAGTCTTAAATTGAACCCTAATTCTTAACCAGCTCAAAACAGTAAAAATGTAGGGATCTCTACCCATTATATTTAGCTTGAGCTTTAGAAGAGTAATCTATTTTCATGAATCTATGCAGTGGAGTTAACTGCATTTCTATGCAGCAAAGAGGAAGTCCAGTTATACCGTGTGTGTATGATAACTCTTGAAATACCAATAATAGTGCACGTATGATCAGTTAACTTGCTAGACTTATATTTCCTCTCCAAAAAAGTCACTAGCCATAGCTAATTTCCCTGAATCAGCCACTTCATCTTCCAGTTCTTTCTGCACTTCTTTGATCAGTCTCTCTTCATATTCACCAGGAATATCTTGGGTTACAAAGTCCAGAAGCGATAATTCATCTGCTAGTAATTGGTTTTTGTCCTCACTTTGGGTCTTGTTCAACGATGATTCACAAAGAGATTCGCTGCTGTGACTGGAAAAAACAAATTCCAAGTTTCAGCATCAGTTGGACAAATATGTATATGATTAAAAATTACACGTTTCAACGTACCTACATTTAAACAGTCTGACAACATTTACACTGGCTTATGTCCTTTAAATGTTCTTTTTACAGTTCAGACATCAACCTTTTAATCGTGAGTACATGTCAATGAAACCTGAACATGAATTAGCAATTGGACTTGTGTTATGATTTAAAGCACAGAAAGGAAGCAACACAGAGAGCCTGGTTTTTTTTTAATTCTTTCCAGCCTCTTAATAAAAGCTCTGCTTTGGTTCATGTACAGTAGTGGCCAAAATTGTGGATACCTTTTGGGAGAAGTGTATTTTTGAGGTTTGATGGCTAATAACACCGCTTTTTTTTTAGATTAGTACCATAAAATTATATATCAATGGAAAGATAATTTAATCAAGAATGTAATGCAACATAGTTTGTTCAATTATCTGTACTGTATTTTATGAAAAGTTATAGCTAAATAACCAGAAAAGGGAAGCACAACTTGCTTAGGTTGATATCAGGTAGCTTTCCTTCATCTGATTGTAGCCAATGAGCATGAGTGTTTAGAGAGCCAGTCAGGTGTCATCTTGTTTTGGCAATGAGCCAATCAGATCACAGTAGGATTCAGTTATTGATGTCACGTATTGAAGCTGAGAGGAGGACATCTGTCAGTGTGTTATGTGATCACTATCAAACTGGTTGGGGTTTTTTGTGTTCTTTCATTTAGTGAGCTTGTAAAACATAATAAAATTACAGTAACGGTGCAAAGAGTTGACTGGTTGCACAGAAAGAGATGTAAAATAATATTATTAAGAGAAGAAGGCTACAGTTAAAAAAAAGAAATTAGAAGAAAAATTGGTGGAAACTTAACCAAAGGTGGCATTTCTACTGTACACTTTTCCCAAAAGGTTTCCACAATTTTGGCCACTACTGTAACTAAGTGGGGCCTAGCAATATTCTGTGCTTTTCTCTAAAGGATGAATTGGGGGGAGTTCAGATTTTTTAATTCGGCAGCTTTTAGTCTTACATGGCCCACTTCATCCCTGTCTTGACAACCCATATCTGCAAATAATCATCCATCCTGAAAAGCTGAATTGCATGACAATAAGCTACCCAATGAAAACTGCATCCATCAATTATGGTCCTTATTAAATCTCAGTGCAGCAATTCAGAGACTGATCTGTTTACTTCATAGGATAACAGGCAATGGCTCATTTTTAACAAGAAGGAAAGAGAAATCTCCAGTCTCTGCCATACTCTTCTTGACACCTTGTTTTATATTTTATCACATGTTACATACTCCTGATTAGGATCAGCAGAGATTCAGCTGCATTTTCATGATACTTGTTGGCATCAGGATGAGGTAATGTAAGCTATTATGTTGGT